AACTATTTTGTTGCAGTTAAGGTGGCTCCCTCCCCCTGCCCCCCTTTTTCTCTTTACAGCTTCTTGTTAGCTTCTTCTATCCTTTACAGAACATGATTTTCATTTTAATCTGAACGACTATATAAGCCTTGTTTTGACCTCCATATGCCTAATGGTTTTCCAAGTCATATCCCATATTGGAGGAGGCAATGTCGTACGCCACTCTTCAGTCAGAGTGTTACTGATATTGAAAGCTACCTATTATTTAATGCCATTTACAAAGAATGCATATTACTTTTCCTGATTGTATTTTTTCTGCTGGGTGGTAAAAAAAATGCTTATGGAGATGCATATTAAAAGACCAGTAACTGTTCTTCTTGTTCTCTCCGTTACCAATACAAATACGAAGTATCTTTCCCTTTCTTGAGATTGGAACATGCGGAAACTCCAAAATTCAAAACCCTTTTCAGTTAACTGAGCTAGGGAAAGAAGTTTGCTACTTATTGATATTCAACTTTTTTTGGGTAAGAACTTTTCATTCTTCTTGTAGGACAACCTGTTTAGAGTCGCCTTTATAGAAAATTCAGCTGTCTATTGAAGCGTTGTGTTGTGCACCACACTCACTTTTTATTGAATCTGATGGCAGGAAACAGGGGAGGCGGAAGAACTGCATTAGACTGGGACTCCAGGATAAAGATTGCCCTTGGAACTGCAAGAGGAATCGCCCACATCCATTCTATGGGTGGTCCAAAATTCACTCACGGAAATATCAAGTCCACAAATGTCCTCCTCAGCCAAGATCTTGATGGGTGCATCTCTGATGTTGGCCTGACTCCTCTCATGAATGTTCCTGCCACTACTCGGAGTGCAGGCTATCGAGCTCCGGAGGTGATTGAAACCCGCAAGCACTCTCATAAATCAGATGTGTATAGCTTTGGCGTAGTCCTCCTTGAAATGCTGACTGGAAAAGCTCCCCTCCAGTCACCAGGGCGTGATGATATGGTTGATCTCCCTCGGTGGGTCCAGTCTGTTGTAAGGGAGGAATGGACTGCTGAGGTTTTTGATGTTGAGCTGATGAGGTACCAAAACATTGAAGAAGAAATGGTGCAAATGTTGCAAATTGCAATGGCATGCGTGGCAAAGGTGCCAGACATGCGACCTAACATGGAAGAAGTTGTTAGAATGATTGAAGAAATCCGGCAATCCGACTCAGAGAACCGGCCCTCTTCTGAAGAGAATAAATCAAAGGACTCAAATGTGCAGACTCCTTGACCACCACCAAAACTTGTTGCTTTTTCCACTCATCAGGTTCTGAGAAATTCATATATTTGTTCCTCTTCTGATTAGGGAAGCATAATAGAACTTTTCCTTTATGTACATGCCTCCTAAGGTTTTCCCAAGCATTATTCAATTACATGCATGGCTTTGTAGAGTGGGAATCAATCCAATTGTGCCATTTTTCCTAGGTAGTTGTCAGGTGGGGTTTTTTTTTTTAGTTTCTTGATTTGTTGCAATATGTATTTTAACCTAAGGAATTAATTGATGATCTTCATTAATTCAAGAGCTTTCCCTAACTTTTGTGTTATATATCCTAATCCTATAATCACACTTTAATCACAATAGGTTAAGACTATAACAAGTTGATTATGAAAGTTAAATGTGTGCTTATCATAATTCTGTGACAGCTAATATGGTCAGAAACTGTGGTCTTTTGGTAGAAGAAATTCTGACGGACGTCCACCTCTCTAGACCCTTGAAAGTAGGAGACTATATAAACCTATTTGGGGTGGCATTGTGAAGCCTAGCCATCCCAGTTTCCGATATGCCAACTTCAATTTACCGTATATAGATTGTGGTCCTCCTAGAGTTTCCCAACTAAGAAAACTATGATCCATCTCAACACATGAGATATTTCAAAACTCTCTCGTCACCATTATTGTCGCTGTCCCTCCGTAATCAGGCTAGGAGGTGTGCTAGCTAGAGAGCTCCAACAATGTCAGACGGCTTAGGTTCATCCTTGCCTCCACCTCCTGGCCGCAACCAATCAAAGGCCAGCAGTGCACGACATGTCGCCTTCTCTGAAACCTCTGCATCATCAGCTCCCAGCAAGGCCCACGATCAAGCCATCCATTTTGTTCCTGACCTTGATGATGAGCGCCCTAAACGCTTTCATCCAGGCTGCTACGCCTGCTGTGCATGGGGTTGCTTGTTCTTCTTTGCCTTCATACTGCTTGCTCTCATTGTTGGTTTCATATTCGTGGCCATCTTCCATTCCTTTCTGCCTGAAATCCACATCCGAAGGTTCAACGCCACTGCCATCAACTTCGCTCAAGCCAACAAAGATTTGGGCGTGAAGGGAAAAGTTGATTTTCTTGTGGAGTTTTTTAACAAGAATGAGAAAACTGAGATCAGATATGGTGCCTTCAAGATCACTGCTTCATCTGCGCACGTCCAGCTAGGTAAGACTGAGTTTCCTGAGTTTAGACAAGGCCAAAAAAACACAAAATCTCTGAACGGAACCATCAATGTTAAACTTTCTGGGGTTGACAAAGAAGACGCCGATCAGCTCAAAACCGACATAAAAAATAGGGAAGTAACTCTGAATTTGGCAATGACCGGCAGTGTTAGCTTCCCTATTGGTGGAGTTTGGTTTAAGAGCATTCCCATCATATCAAACTGCGATGCCAAGCAAAAGGAAGTTGATTTTGGAAACAAGGCCAAATGTGACTATAGGATTATTGCCATAAAGTAAAATCCTCAATGATATCTCTCTCCATCCGCGTAGAAAATGCTTTAGAACCCAACTTTTTTCTCAACTCTCTCACATGATCCTGAAATCTATATACATACGTGCTGCATGTATTCTATACGAGGGAAAGAGTTGAGAAAAAAGAAAGTTAGGGTTATATAGCGAATGTTGTCTGAGACAGATTCAATGGGCTGCAGGGCAATAGCTGCCAATAGTGTTAGATGAGGGAATTGGTTTGAGCCATCATCATAATCATGTCGATTGCATAAAAGATTTGATTGTTTGTTATGTATCATATCATGTGGAATGTTACAAAGTTTTTCCTTATTTTTTTGCGTGCCTTCCCAATTGCTCCATCTTTCTTTAATGTGGAGAAACTTTTTGAGAATCAATAAACATCTCAAGATTTTGAATACTCTTGATAATCAAAATGCTCATCATTGCAATCTTTACATGTCTTCAATCGAGATTCAAAGCACACAACAATATGCAGCACTTTCTGTAATCTTTTTCGTTGCCTAGTTTTTTATATTCCTTTCTAAATTTCATGATTTCCTACTGCTTTCGAACCTAGAATTATGAGATGTCACCATACTAACATCGAAAGGACATGCAAACTAACTATTTAGATTCATAGTTTCATAACATAGCGGATCATCGCCTTACCCAGAAAAGAATTTGTTTTCACATTAACACAAACAATATGACACTATTATCAATAGAATCATACAATAAGCCCATAAACACAGACTAAAATTATTTATCAATTAGCTCTTAGTTTAGCATGATTTGTTTTTCTAAAATTCGAAACCACTCTACTATTAATTTGAATAAAAAATAAAAAATAAATAATTATCAGTGCGATTTGATTCTTTAAAAATGGAGAGAAATTCTCATGCAACGGGGATATCACTTTTTGTTATCCCAGTCAATAACGCAAGGGAAATGCTAGCTACCTTCTCTCTTCTTTTGGACATTCTCCCTTCTCTTCATGACATGTGTCACTTTCTCTACACTTAAAGTAATGTCGTTACCAACAGGAGTTGGTCCAAGTGGAAGGGGCTTGGATCCTTTAAACAAGAGGTCCTGGGTTCGATCCCAGGCGCTTGCGAATAGAGCAGACTTTGTTGGGAGAGGTCCCCGCTTTGCGCCCGACAGTACCTCGAGGGTTAGTCCCCGCAATCGCGCGGGGGATACCTTGGTTTTCACCCAAAAAAAAGTAATGTCGTTAATGTATTAGAGCATCTCCAACCGATGTGTCAAAAATGCCACATCGACATCTAACAGCTAGAAATAACATCTCACATCACTCCAACCGATGTGTCAAAGCTGATGTGGAATGAAGGCTGGAGGTTGAGATGTTATTTTTGACATCCCAAAAGCAAGATGTCAAATGAATATTTTATTATTTTTTCTTATCTTTTCTTTTTAATTAAAAATAAATCAACACTAAAACGTAATAAAATAATAATTTAATTTGACATATCGGGTTTAGTGTAAAACTGTGTATGATGTCAAATTGCCACATCAGCCATCAAATTTAAATTTGATGTTTGATATTTGACATCTCTCTTGGAGATGCTCTTAGACAATATATCCTACTATATGGCATAGGATAACATTTTCATATATTATTGTGTTATTTATGAGGGACAATAAAACAATGTTATTCTCGTTACTAGTAAGTTTTTTGGCCATGGTTGAGAGGATAAGCCAGGGTTGGGCTGAGGGGTATTGATAGTGGCCCCGCATCTAATGGTGGTATTGATAATGGGGAGCTTCTATAATGAGGAGGTTGAGTGAGGAGCTTATTTGAGGAGGCTCATCTCACCATTAAAAGGGGTGTGGACCCCCCAATGCACCCCCCCATGTGCTTTGTTTTTAGTTGTTGATGGTGAGATTTCACCTCCTCAAATAAGCTCCTCACTCATCCTCATTCTAGCCTCTCCAGGGAAATTGTCATCCCTAGTATGGAATAAATTGCATAGTGCCAACTTATGGGTCCATGGTAGTCATAGATTTACAAGCCCACAAGTCTGAGTGTGAGACACCATGATTTTGCAAAGCCCACCCGTCTCAAATCACACAAATGAATACGGGGTGGGGCCCATACTCCCAGGGACCCGATTGCAAAGTTTAAAGGAGAATGTGGGTCACGGATAAAATTCATGTCTCTCACTCAGGGACTCCGTAGCCAATACAAAAAAAGGGTGGGGAAAGGGTGTTGTAATAAGGACGTGGATCCTACGCCAAGTTGGAATATAAAGATAGAAAATTCTAGAAACAAAGCTTTTTTATTTATTTTTATTTCTTATCTTTTTATATATAAAAATACAAAATATATTTCGGAATTTTATTCTTCTCAGCCCCTCTCGAAATCTCTGATTCTTTCAAATCCAAGCTCACAATCTCCTGGTATTTGCCTTTCTCCTCCTATTCTCTGTAATTATTTTTATTGTTTTGTCATTATTTATATGATCTGGGGTTTCTCTGCTGATCTCGGATCGGCGTTTGTTGTACGAATAGGGTTTGGTTTTGGGAAATTTGGGTGTCGTTTTGGACTTGTTTAGGCTCACGATCTGGGGTTGATTCGATTGTTTTCTAGGTCTTCAGGTTGTGTTTGTGTGGTTGTGTGTTGCCATGGCGTCAAAACGCATCTTGAAGGAGCTTAAGGATTTGCAGAAAGACCCTCCTACCTCATGCAGTGCTGGTATTTGCTCCTTTCCCTTTTCCACAATCCCTTGCATGGATTCTGTCTCAGACTTGTAATGAAGCGATGTTTATTTTAAATTTGTATTAAGATTGTAGAAAGTACTAGTTGCAGCTACTTAACTGGTTAATTTTAAGGCTTTCAACCCTTTTCAGCTCACGATGTTTAGCATAAGCATGGCCCTTTTGATCCATTAAAGAGGAAAAAACTGAAAATAATGTTCAAATATTGTGAGTTGTTGAATGGCATATTTGTGGATGGCCCAATTGAGAGCAACACCTCTAATCTGAGGAGGTTGTCTCAGGCTCAAATTCAAACCCCTAATGTTTAAACTGATCGAAGATGGTAGCATATTTGTACTTTAATGAGTTTCCTTTGTCTCGTGTGCTTGCTAATGCATCTTAGCTTTCTCAGATATGTATATTTTGATCACTATTTATCTTGAGGTTGATATAGAAGCTATTCTTTGGGTGTACCTTTTAATGGGTTGTAGGTCCCGTGGCCGAGGACATGTTCCATTGGCAAGCAACAATTATGGGGCCTGCTGATAGCCCATATGCAGGTGGTGTTTTTCTAGTTTCAATTCATTTCCCTCCAGATTATCCATTCAAGCCTCCAAAGGTAAAAAAGAAGCAAAACCTTACCCTTTTGTTTCTATAGAATTTGTAATTGTCTCATTCCTCCATACGATACAATAAATGAAGCACGAGCTCTGTGTGTCGTAGAATGGCTAAAATGGACACTGCATCTGTGTTTAATAAAGGGGATAAAGTTTTCTGTTATTTAGTTGATGTGCTTAGGTGATTGTATCAAACTGCTCTCTGCAGATTAAATGATAATTCTGTCAATGGCAACCTGTGTATATTATCTCTGAAATTTTAATATGTGTGAGAACTTAGTGAGAAGTAAGATGCTCCCCCTCCCCCCTCCCCTCCAAAATCTGATTTTGTGGTGGGTTGGCATGTGTGTGTGAACAAGAATGCCCATAGAGTATTTGGTCCTGTATATCAGTCTTGATAATTACTTATCTGTGTTGAACATCTAAATTAACGTTTTCTTTTATTCAAAATTGATATTCATGTAAATTTAACAAAGTGATGACGTGTTTCATTGGTGCTCTATCTTTGAATCAAACTTTATAAGTTTATGAGAATTATGTGTTCCCTTAGTTCGTGATATTTGTAGGTGTTGTCTTAGAATGATTTTAGAGTTGCACGATAAAAAGCCGATTCTTGTAAGATCATCTCACTAAGCGGGCAATTCAATGTTTTGCTTTGCGTTGGTCGCTTTCATGTTTTGAGGTGATTTATTTTTGGACAGTTTATAATGTAGAGGCTAACCAGAGTTACATTTCAGGTTGCATTTAGGACCAAGGTATTCCACCCAAACATTAACAGTAATGGAAGTATATGTCTTGATATTCTTAAAGAACAATGGAGTCCGGCACTTACCATTTCCAAGGTTTGTATAGCTATTTTAGTTTTTCGTTTGTGATTCAAGAGGTCTTGCTGCAGTCCTCTTATCAGATTAAAATGATATGTCCTGTGACTCATCCTAATAATCCTACTTTTCACTCCCCATCTTGCTGCATCTTCTGACTTGCCATCGGTGGTGCGTCACATGCAACTCTAACAAGATGGGTGTGAGTGTTACACATAGCAACGTAACATGGTATGCCCAAAGTAGGATTAGATGGAGTTAATATTACATCATTTAATCTGATAAAAGGACAGAAGCCAGCTCCATTACAAGATAGCAGCAAGAAGAACAGCCTATTTGTTTTGATATATAGGTTATAATGGTCATTCAATAAATTTGTGTTCAGGTGCTGTTATCCATATGCTCTCTGTTGACGGACCCCAACCCCGATGATCCACTTGTCCCTGAAATCGCACACATGTACAAGACTGATAGGGCAAAGTATGAAGCCACTGCCCGCAGTTGGACACAGAAGTATGCCATGGGGTAAAATTGAAGGAGATTCCCAGCATTTGTAAAAGGATGCAAATGCATGAATTCCCTCTCCTCTAAGTAAACATTGGAAAAATTGAAAATTTCTTTGTCATTTGTGGAACTTAAAATTGATGAAGGAACTAGTTCTCATTGTGTGAATATTCATTTGGGGGCATCGGAGATGGGAAGGAAAAAACAACTGTAATGTATTGTTGCTATGTTGTTATTAAGCGAATGGTTTGTTTGTTGATCTACTACCCGTAAAATGATTAAAGAAATAATGTTTTGAGGGCAGGATTGCGGAGATTGCTTATATCGGTTAGCAAATGCTTTCCCCTCAGAAGATCACTGAGGGAAAACACATCTTAAAAGCAAAATACGTAATAGTACGTATTGTACGAAGGTTCGAAAGATGTATTTTGTTTCAGATTGATGGATTGGATTGTGTGGAAACATACAACAAATTGGCCTTCTTTTTCACTGGTTTTGTCCTTGTTTCTTCTTATAGGATAGTTATTGGCTTTCGTTTTCACTGGTTTTGTCCTTGTTTCCTCTTATAGGAAGTATCAACTAGCTGTGTGGGTGGTTGGACTTTGCTTTTGAGTCTTGTCCGTGAAGATAAAGCTAGTCTATTTGTGGTAAATTTTGTTGCATATAACAGTATATGCAATGCTTCTTTTTACAGCCATTTTATTATGAAAGGAACGTAGTATATATCTTTGATATGAAAAAATCTCTTTAAATATATATTTATTTATTTATTTTTTGTTTTTCTTTTCGCTTGGTCTAAAATCTCTTCAACGTAGGGGTCTCGATCATTAGTATACATGTGAATTGGATGCGAATGCGTCACACCAATGGATGGTTCATGCCGAAACCATGCAATGTTTGGCAACGAGTGATGTGCTCTGTTTTGAATTTTGAGGTTTAAAACCACGTGGCCTTGTGGTTTGAATTGTCGCTCCGTTCATTGCCCAAGTTTGGCTGTACTGAAATCTCTGATTCTTAATGGGTTTTGTTGTATTATGCATATTCTAATACAAGGAGAAGGAGCAGTTAGGTCACACTTGATTTAAATAATAAGTCTAAGGAGAGAAGAAGGGAGATGATGACGATGAGGAATCGAACATATGACCTCGGGGGATAGCCCGAGAAAAATCGTATTAACTTCCTTTTTAGGCCATCGTAGTAGTAACCCCACTATTAAGTGTGTAATATAATAACATTTGAGGAAAAATAATAAAAATTTGATTAACTTATCGCTTGGTTGACAAGCAACGAAGGTGGTCACTGCAACCTCCCCAAGTCCCTTTTCATCCCAACTCTAGTTGTACATGATTGATTGCTCTTGCTCCACGTGGCTGATTGGTGGATTGGGGTCTGTTGCCTTTGCTTCTTGCCCAAGCATTAACCAACTCTAGCAAACTTTTCAACGTTATTTGAGTGGCTTGTATTATTTAAATCAAATTACTGTGTAATGCCCTTTCTCATTCTGCAACTCCCATTTGACAAATTCCCTTTTTCAGTGTATTTTATTTTGACTGAACCCAATCCCTTGCTTAAAATAATCCTATGGCTGCACCTTACCAAAATAGACTATCACAATTTATTCTAGGCAGTGATTTTTATTTTTTTATTTTATTTTTATTTTTTTAAAAGGTAATGTAATGAATGGACCGACTTAGGTTTGAAGGAGTCAAGAAGAAATAAAAATTGTGTCCAGCTGATATTTCAATGGCTGATCATGACATGCCCTCGCATGCACCTATTAGGAGAGGAACTGCAACAGTAAAAAAGTAAAACATCTTCCCAATTCCTAGGTGGAAAGAAAGCATCTGAAAGAGAAAAAGGGTGTTCCTCCCGGCATGCTTTTTGAGGACACAACATACACAGAGACGGTAAAAAGGCAGAGAAAAAGAGCTACATACAACTGCGTGGTCGGTTTTACAAACATGTAAATTAAAATTGGTTTAATCACAATTGTTTATTCGGCTATCGTGGTAATATCTCAAGTCAATCACGCATATTGTACATGATTCATTTAAGTTATTCTCGTCAGCTGAAGCTCACTGTACTATAATAAGCTTAATCATCCGAGTCGAGACCAATGGACAAAATTATTGTATACAATCTGTTTTTTCAGTAGCTTTTTAGTCTTTGGTGAGAAAAGTGTTGTATTGTATGCACCATTTATGGATCTCTGCCGACAATATAGACAGGACAATGTTGGCTGAACTCTAGTGTGCTTAAATTACAAAGATAGACTAAAAGAAAGAAAGACATAATTAAAAAGAGGGTCTACTGTTTTAGATCCAATTGATTAAAAAGATGGGGAAGAAAAATCAAGGGGAAGGGACGACTTGGGGCAATTTGTGAGCGTCAAGGGGGGTTGTTTTTTTTCGGTGGAATAAACGTAACGAGAGTTTAGGGGTTGGGGACGAGGGAAGAAGAGGGCAACTGACACGTCAATAGAGGCAGCTGGAGGCAGGTTTCCCGCTTTATACTCCCCGACATGACTCATGAACCATGACCCGCTCACACACTCACTCACGAGAAAACTACATACATTACCCATTTCGAATAGATAATATTAAACAATTGAATTGTTATTCGCACTCTTATGTCATTTCGCCAAAAAAATAATTGATACTTTTTCAATCTCTCTTTTTTGTGACGTAATACTCTATTCTAATTTATACTCGCTACATATCACGTGATGAGAAAGATATGAAGAACGAATGTATGCACTAGAATTAATACATTTCTCTACGATTTACATACCTTATAGATGTACTCGACTAAATTACTCCTCTAATCGGATGTTCGGTATAAAATTAAAGACACCTTAAACCGATCAGAAGAATCATTGATTAACAAAGACTAGGTAGCAAACCTATGTGCCACACGTTTAACATTAGACCTTAGCATCATCATCGCTCAAGCAAAGGCAACAAAGCAGAGATGATTTCGGAAAAGATAAGTGTGAATAACAATTATGTTTAAAACAAGTTAAAAAACAGCAGTAAAGTTGAGAAATTAAAGCTAAGAGAGTGAGGTTAATGTATTAACTACTCAAATACTAAGTCCACTCCCACTCTTATGTATCCATGGCTCCATGCACTATATATACCCTTGACCCTTCCCATTGCTCTCCGTTTTCCTCCTCTTCTCCGCTTCTCTCTCTCTCTCTTCCCAAACCTGCAAAGGGGTTTTAGTACGATTTCTTATCTGCCAAAAGCCCCTTCTAGCTAGCTGGCTAGGCGCTCCTCCTCCCGTACTCTTCGCAGGCCTCTGCTTCCTCTTTTCCATCACCTTCTTTCTTTCCTCTTCGATCCACTCTGAAATCAATCACCCTTCTATAAAAGTTCAGATTCCACCTAAAACCTCACTCAGTACAACTCACTGGTACAGTTTTTTCTGTACATGCTTCTTTTGCCTTTCGCTTCTTGATGTCTCTCAAGAACAAACCCACATCTCCAATTTCATTTCCTCTCCCTCAAAACCCATGACGAGCTTCCAAACCATCTCGTCCGTAAACCCCATGGTCAAATTTTCGGAGCAAGTAACCACCATGACCAAGCTCATCACACACGAAAACCAAAACCCGCCTGTGAACCCGACCCATCTCTCACCAAAGCTCGTCCGGATCATACTCACAGACGCCGACGCCACCGACTCCTCCAGCGACGAAGAAGACAGCGGCGTACGCAGAATCAAACGACATGTCAGACAGATCAGCCTCGAGCTCTCTTCACCTTCCTCCTCCTCCTCCCCTTCTTCTTCTTCTTCATTTTCTTCGGCTCATTCCAAACGGCCCAGAAAAGACCAACGACCCACCAAGAAACTCGGGTCGAGGTCGCCGGGATCCGACCACACTCGGCGGAACAAGTTCCGAGGAGTCCGCCGGCGACCATGGGGCCGATGGGCAGCGGAGATCCGTGACCCGACCCGGAGAAAACGGGTCTGGCTCGGAACCTTCGACACGGCGGAGGAAGCTGCCACTGTTTACGACAGAGCCGCAGTGTTGCTCAAAGGTCCTGACGCCGTCACCAACTTTCCTAACGCCGCTATGACGGAAGCCACGGTCGTTACTGACGTGGTGGTCCCGGCGGCGGAGGAGAGCTGCGGGTGCGGATCACCTACGCCCAACGAGGCTGCCACGTCGCCCACTTCCGTTCTCCGGTACGACGAGTTAACGCCGTTCGACGGTTTCCGTTACGGCGAGGTGGACGCCTTTGGGTTCGATATCGACCTGCCGTTAAGCCTGCCCGATATTATGTTGTCGAATAATAACAACTTTGCTCACGACGAGTTCGGCGAGTTTGACGTCAACGATTTCTGGGTTGACGTCATATGTTAAATTCACCAGGCACGCTTACACGTGTCGGCTTCCACTGAAACACGTGGGTGCAAAGGAGTATTTTGTAATTTCGTTCGGGACTGTGCGGGTGAGTATTGTGACGTGGCATAGTAGGACTGGGAGCGGAAGCTGAGTGTATAATGTGGAATTACCAAAATGCCCAATTAGTTTTGGCTAGTCAAACGACGGAGTGTTATATATGAGTAAAGCCGATTTTATCTAATTATATTCGGCGATTTTGTGAGAATCCTTTGTACTTTGTTTTTCTTTTTCTATTTATAAAATTATTGGTGTTTAATTGTAATTAAAAAAGATTATTAATTTATTTTATATTGTCAATGAGAATTTAGAAGCTTTGGAGACTTTGAGGTGGGAAAAAATCATAAATGAAGGAGTGCTTTGATTCCTTGGACATCACGCCTAGCGTTGAAAAGCAAAAGGCATAATTATTATTATTGATTTCGGCTAAATTAAATATTAAATATTAAAATGGAGAAGAATATATAATATGCCTTGTTGTGAATAATATAAAAAAATGGAATGAATTTTCTTTCTAATTCTTTGGCTTTGGCTTTGGCTTTGGCTTCGGCTTCGGCTGTCACTGTTTATAGTGGCACACTTGGAGGAAGGCTCAATACTTTTTGACACGTGTTGAAAACGGGCTGCTTTCAGATTAGCAAACTGGTCAGGAGTTTGGATTTTGTCGGATATCCTTGACGGGCTCCATCGCATATTATATAAAATAAACTATTAAATAAGACGACAATATCTAATCACATTGCCTTTTCTCTTTTTTGTTTCTCTTTCTTTTTCAAGTAATCTAAATTGCTTTGTTTTTGTTGATAATGTCAATATTTGGTAAAGATAATTTTGTAGTGGGTTCATAATAAGGTGAATCCGTGAAACCTGTTTTTTTGTGTACATAACAAAACTGATATTGGATGCCACGCTATATGGAAGAAAATAATCCATTTTATAAATGAATTATTGTGAGCGTCGTATCGATTCACATATATCTAGTCAGAAATCATTCGAATTGGGTATAGACAACTAATCATAAAACTCATATGAGACGTTCACATGAAAATCATTGGTATAAGTCGAGAGCAAGTATCATAGTCACTGTGATATCTGGAACATATAAAATTTTCTCCTTTCCTTTAGAGTGCTTGACACCCAGGTTCGAATAACTCCTCATTGGTATAATAAATGGATTTCACCCTATTATTATACTGCGCTTGAAGACTCTTTCAACACAAAGTTGACGTTAAATGGCAGCCACAGAGCCATAAATATATTTATCATAAAATAAGATACAATAATAGAAAGGCTGAAATTCCATATAAGGTAATAGGATCACTAAGCTCCATCAAGAATCCTAATCTATCTTATTACATATACTGTTGAAATCCTAATCTATCTTATTACATATACTGTTGAAATGGAGAAATACAAGAACCAACTAGGCTAGTGTGGGGTCCACATTGAACCGGTGGCTAGTCACTAGTGGTTAATAATCATAGCTTGAGGCTCTGGGCCCACACCAATGCATCATGATGGTATTTCAAATGGACCTGGTACAATTGCATAAAACAGCCAACGTGGCTACCGGCGGCTGCAAAGTTGGAATTTGAATTCCCCAATTCAAGGGGAATGAAGATTTCATTTTCTTTAGATACAAGCTATTGTGAAATTAGTTTAATCTATGAGGAGGGATTCGAATTCAACACCCAAAAACCAAAAAACGAGTTCTCTGTTCTAATCAATTGGCCTAATCCAAATTTGCGATATCGGGAGCTGTTTGGGGAGCGTCAAAGAAATTTGGAATTAGCATGCTTGAATTGAAAAGGCGTGGTTGAATGGGGATTTGGTGGGTCCTACGGTTGGTGACCAAACAGATATGAAAGTAACAAAAGCCCAATCGACAGCCGCCTCCCACTACTAATACCAACAATTATTAATTTTATTTGAATCTTAATCCCAATAGTAGATTTAGGTGCCAAATTGCCGATGCATTTTGGAGTTAATTGGTTGTTTTGTCTTTGCTCAGCAGCAGTAAGTCCAACCCACATGGTATTATAAAAAACAAAATGTGACGTATAATACCATTAATCCAATAATATCCTACTTCTAAATTTTTATTTTTGTATGTCATTGTCATCACTGTTTGCTTCCCAAACTCACACAAAGGCATACATTTTTGTTGTATTGATCCGTTGGTTGTCGGTAGAGTTATTTTTTAAGGACTTTTTCGATTAAGATGGGTAACTAATAACATACTAAATTTACACAAATTATACGGATACTATAACTCAAACCCATAATCATTCATGAGGGAGCATTTACTCTAAACCACTACACTAATGGAGTTAATATAACTATTTACTGGACGGACATTTGTGGAAGACTTAAAGCAGACGGAGCAGGCATTAAATTAGTGAGGAAAACGACCCATCAAGTGAAAGAAGAAGATATTTATCTTGGAATGTTATGAAATCCCTAAATTTAAAACTGGAGATACGTACGTATTTATAACGTCTACACAAAAGTGTGACAAGAGACAGTACGGACTGCATTTTGAGGGGCAAAAACATAAAGACACCCAGCAAAGTTTAAAGATATTCAAGCCCCACCTGCAAATGGATAAGAACAACCAACCCAAACGTACAAAACTCTAATGGCACTGCATGATATATATAATATTCTTATGTATATATATATGTTGCTGGAGACTGGCTAGCTAGTGGTGAAGTGGGAATAAATGGTTTCATTTTTCCATAATTTATGGCTGCAATTTTCAATTAATATCCAGGCATGCAGCTCATGACAATGTTAAATAATAGATAAAACAAAAACCAATTGAACAAAAATGGAACATGGGAATTGGAGAATGGAAATGCTTGGAGTATTTTAGTTAAGGATTGATTACATATTTCTAATTTCGACGGTTGAATTGCATTTAAGAGACTACCAACACATTTAATGAATGCAATCCAACGGACCAAGATTACAAATATATAACTGTGGGGACTAAATCTCACGTGTCATGGCTTAACCCATATGCTATGATTAAAAGAACGTGGGATGATCGAACTTCCCTCCCATTAGAGAAGTGCGGAGTGAGGGAGACACGACCTAGTCATTTGAACCCCATTACCATGAAGAGGAGGATGGGATGCGCAAAGTTAGGGAAGTGGGGCCAAACCCAAGGAATCAAAGCGCTATAAAAATCCGACTAGATCTCCAGCAAAGGTACAAGAAATTCAATTGAGCACTAAGAGTCCAATGCACAAACACAGACTTGAGCATCGGAGTGGCTTTTGCATGTACTCACCCCATTTCCATCGTTCATTCTCGGGAACGCAATCCGAAGTTCTTTTTCAACCAAGGAAGTGTGCGGACTTCAGTCAAGAACTTATGGAGGTATTTCTTCCTAAAAGAAATCCGGCTCCAACAGTAACCAATCCTTAACATAAAATATTTATTGAAGAATCTCCCTGAGAAGTGCTTATGCGGAATTAATGTCCTAAACCCTAAAACAAATATAAATAGTAGGAAAATTATGTCCTAAATTGGGGTATCGTAATTTAAAATCGTGGTGGCTAAATTTTATGGGTTTTGGATTTGATTTTTCAACACCCAACCACACCCACATATGAGTGTATATTGTTTTTAGCTTGGGAAACGAAGAAAAACAGAAACCAAAAAAGAGGTGGAAGGTTCGCCGAAGTTGAAAGCATGTCCTATAAATTTCGTAATTGACTTTTCCAAGCAGTGCTTTTTGATTTTCGATGAAGAAAAACAAGAAGCTGTACATCCCAATATTGGACTAAACAAAGACCGTCCATTGATCAAGTCTTCCAATGACAATGTCATGTCACCCTCCAACCAAAAATTTTAAAAAAAAATTTGAAGGTTGGAGAGAAATTTCCAAGTGATAGGGTAAAGCCAAATTGGAAGGTGAAATGCTGTTGGAAAAAGCATAAAAACAGAGCGGGCGGAAACAAGCAGCATGCACACTTTGACCTCGAATGGATTGAATTTGAAATAAAAGTTGGACAGTCAAGGTTCTTAGAACTTTCCCAATCTATTTTCCATCGAAATAATCGACGCAGCAAGCCCCACAGTGTTTCTTGTCTCTCTGGTAATTTTAATTTACAAAGTCGAATCTCTAGTCAAATGTACACACTTGAATTCAAATGTAAAGCCTAACTTATCTTCTCTGTCTTATGTTCGTCTGCATTTCCTGCCATTGTATCATGTCGCTTTTTGTACGTCTTTGGCTTTATCAATGAATTCTCTTTCTCAAAAAAAAAAAAAAGTTCATATTTCAGTTATAATTTTTTTAACTTTCAACTTTAACAACACAAAAAGGATCATCTAGTAACTGCTTATATAACCACTTGTTGCAAAAACTTGAGCTATCGAGGAATGATCTAATAATTAGTAATCACATGATCATAGATTTATTTAGTAAAGTAATCTATATACAATGGGCTATGTAAAAGTTCTGCAAAATACTAATCCTAGAATGATCATGGCTAAATCTGGATAGGTAATCGGAAAATGAAATTATCAAGCCCAATATGAAGAAATAATTGAAAAGTGAATTTGGAGATTGTATTTTAGATTCGGGTACTCTTACATAGTATTTTTTTGAAAAAATATATATATATAATTTTTGGTTCTAAATTCTAACACACCAACTCGCTCATGTTCATAAAATATTTTATTTATACTAAATAATATATTGACATATTATTGATGGAGCAAATTGGGTGATTCTGGTACCGGCCCGAACCTTTTCTTAAACCAAATTTTGTATTAGAGTTGGGTTCAGAAGCAGCCAGGCCCATGTAGTCCAAGTCAAGAAAGAGGCAAGAAGATTCCCAAATAAGCTTTTTTCTTCTTCTTTTCCGGCCGAAGAAGATAAGTTATTGAGGGCACTCCACAAAGCAAGTTGTAGGAAAATAACAGTTCCATCCACAAGACAACTTTTTTCTTTGCTTTTGACGACAACTTGAGACTTTGAATTTTATCAATCTGCTTCATATAAAAACCTAAGCTATTATTTTCCAATTTTTATAAAGCTAATATATTTCCTATTTCTTTTTTTTTTGGGGTCAAAATATATATATATTTTTTTTTTGTGGTCAAAATATATTTCCTATTTTGTGTGGAAATCTTGATTTGACTGGGACATATCAAACCCTATGCGTGATGGACAAGCAACAAGAGACCTTACGCACTCGTATAAATACCATGCAAATTATATAACTCACAAAAACAATTATAACGTACACAGAAAAGAGCAAAGCGATTAGACAAACACTCACAGTCAAAGAGGAGGAAGAGATTTCTTTAATTTGTAAGTGTCTTTAATTCTCCTGATCTTTTACTTGTTCTAGGGATTCAAAAAACCCTAATTGTTCTTCGTTCTCTACGGTTTAGTTGCTTTGTATGCTTGTCCAACTCTTTGCGTTTTTGCAGCAAACGACATGGCAGATGACAATCAGAATAAGATGAAGAACGAGGTGGTACCAGATGTAAGTTTCAGGTTTTTGTAATTGCACCTCATCCGAATGATCATGTGAATAAAGATGAGGTGCAATAACACTCAAATTTCCAACTCACCTCCCCATGTCGCAATATCTATCTAATTTCGTCTACTTTAATCTTCCATCTTTTCTCTTTGCTAGATCTAAGTATTGTGGTTATTCATCCTTTTTTGCAGATTGCCCCTTTTGATCCTACGAAAAAGAAGAAAAAGAAGAAGGTTGTATTTCAGGATACTACTGAAGATTCTGTGGAAAAGTTGGCTGAGAAAACAGAAAACCTGGCAGGTTGTTCAATTGAAACCAAAGACAGTGGCGATGCAGTGGAAGATTTAAATGGTTTAGAGGGCGCTGGTGATGAGGAAGGGGAAGGAATTGTTCTAGAGGCTCCATCCTATCCTTGGGAGGGGAGCGATCGTGATTACACATATGAGGAGGTGTGTAAATTATTTAATCTCCATTACAGATCTTTCACAGTGATGGTTCCTTTTACTTATTTTTTCTATGCAATGTCTGCAGCTTCTTGATAGGTGTTTAACATTCGGAGTGAAAATAACCCGGACCTGGCTGGAGATAGGAGGTGTAGGACAATTTTGAGGCCTCCACAAGTACTTCGTGAGGGCACAAAGAAAACTATTCTTGCGAATTTCATGGATGAGTGCAAGACGTACGTTTGTTTCTCTCTATTTAGTTAAAAAGATTAAAATGCTTATTCAATATAAAACCCTTCTATCTTAAAATTACAGGTTGCATAGGCAGCCCGATCACCTCATGGCGTTCTTGCTGGCTGAACTGGGGACAAGTGGATCACTTGATGGACAACAGAGGTTGGTTGTCAAGGGAAGATTTGCACCCAAGAATTTCGAAGCAATACTGCGGGAATATGTTAGTAAGTACCTAGTTCTGTGGTTTGATTTATTTATTTTTATTACAGCTTTTAATCTGGCATGGTTCAATTGATAGTGTTCGATTGACTAGGCAGGCATGCTTGACAGTTATATCTTTCCTTTTCTATGTGCTATCTAGTTTTTCACACTTGTTACTGCCGTTTCATTTTTGCTTATGTAACTTCTTTTTTTCCAGATCAATATGTCCAATGCAATGGGTGCAAAAGTCCAGACACTATACTTTCAAAGGAGAATCGTCTCTTCCGTCTCAGATGCGAGAAGGTAACAGTCTTAGAATTTAGTATTCTCTAATATTAGTTGGCTGTTGGTTTGCTAATTTTAATCGGTGGAATATGCTACCAATTTTGTATCCTCTGTGTTTCTGGTTTTAAAATTCTAAAAAATAAGTGTATTTTGTCTGGCTTTCTTTTGCAGTGTGGTGCTGATCGAACAGTTAATCCAATTAAAGCTGGCTTTGTGGCTCGTGTCGGACGAAGGAAGACATGATCTTAATTAGCCTGTTGTGTCGAATCCTCATAGTTTACTAGTTGCTAATGGATTTTTGAGTTGCGTGTTTGGCATCCACAACAATAACATTTTTACTGTGACGTTTGGGTATTGAGGAAGATTTTCTCTTGTTCTGCTTAGTGATTACAGACCTTCCTATACTTTGGTTTTTGCCAGTGCTGCTCAATTTTTTGATGTTTAGTGATAATTCTGAGACGTTTGATTTGAATGTGCTTTTTCCTCTGCATGTTTCTCTTGCAAGTTAGACCGTCACCCCTTGCGATGATGGGATTGGATTCGATATATCTGATTCGAATGGGTCGTGTGTCACAATCTTTTAGGCACTGTGGGTTAGTTTAGTGAATGAGGAGTTGAATTGCATGATGATTGCTACTCATTACTCAAAGAGTTATGGGCATGCTTGGTGTTGAAGGACCAATTAATAATGGAAATTGGTTACCACCCGAGAATGCGTTCAAATTCCCCCTCCTTCAATATAACTTGTATAGGAATAAAAATAAAAACTGAAACCCATTGAAGAATCCTCGACAAGGTTACGATATACCCGCAGAGGTTACCATCATGTTTCCCTACATAACTCACCGAAATTTTGGTGTTCATAATGAAAACTTGAAACAATTTGCGGATGCCAAAATATTCCTTAGAATTTGATAGATGGGTTTTGGTACAACATCGCAAACACGATTACAAAATATATTACAAGGATTAGTAGAAACATAAAAAGAAAAAGAGTCTGAGACATATGCGATAATAATAGTAATTGAAGTGTTGATCCTTACTGAATTTTCAATGTAGATGGCTCTGCCTGCCTATCTCCATAATATGTAGGGTTTTGTAGAGTACACTCGACTAGACTTTTCCAATTATCACACAGCGGGTGGAAAAGCTTTTCACAAGATGTTGTACAAGCTTGACAGTGATGCAACAAGCATTACATACAACCATATGATACATGAATTCATGGTTGCATGCACGAGCTCTTTTCCGTTGGCACTGTATATTAAAGCATTATGCAGAAAAAACATTATGCAGAAAAACTTTAATAAAGGCATGTGCTAGTAAGCATGTACTGATAATTATGCCGTCTGCAAGCATGTGGCTGCAATGTTCTTTCTAATCATCTTTGTCTTGCTGACTTGGATATGCAGATCAAACTCATGAAGGAGATGTGATGTACTTCACTAAACTACATGAAATTCATAAAAATAAATTACTACTGAACTTGAGAAGGTATGTAATCACTTCTCTTATTCTTTCGTCATATAATATATTTGTTGTTCAAATCTTACCATTGAGCAGTCTTTGCCTTTGATTTGATCTCCCTTTTAACTATTGCGGCCTCGTTTTCTTCATGGGATTGTTACCAAAACGAACTTACAGAGGTTCTGTAACAGCAATTCAGCAGAACTATATGTCAAGCTTGCAACAAAAAATCTATGCGAATCCTTCCAATTTCGTTGTATGGCGGTAAATTCGAGTAGTTTCTTGGCAACAAGTTTCTGCCCTGCCTCAAGGTAAAGGAATCTCCCTCTCTGGCGTCCCATTTTTGTGTATTTAATATTTAAATAGTATAGTACTAGCTGCCATGGCCTCTCACTCTGTGGTGCAACTCCAGTCTCTCCAGTCCAGTAACCTCGAGACACTGACCTCACTCTCTGCCCAAGGTAATAATAACCTGATTTTATTTTTGCTAGATAGTTGACAGATTATTAATCGATCAACTTTGGTGATCCTTGTAACGGCCCAAACCTTTTCTCCAACCAAAATTGTGTTACAGTTGGGTTTACAAGAAGCCAAGCCCTTGTATTCCTAGTCAAGAAAGAGAACAAGTCACAATGGGAGAGGCCAGATTTCCAAGAAGGGTTTTATTAATTTTATTTGGGCGAAAGTTGCCAAATGGCCACAACTCCCAAATATTGCTTTATATCACAAAACATTATTGAGGTTCATGAAATTATCAAATTGCATTCTTCTTATATTTTTGTGTCATTCATGATTTGATGAAACTTACTTCGAGAATATGGTCACGCGATCGCGTCGCATCATTGTATTTGACCCATTTAAATGACAGCAAGACGACATTGATGTTCAACTTACAATTTTAAGGACGGTAATAATCAATTTTGGGTAATGTCAAACTTATCATATTTTTATACCACATTGTGTACCATATTTCTAATAGAAGTGGAGCCCACCAATACAATGTGGCCCACCTCTATTTAAAAAGTGATACACAATGTGATAAGTCTAGCATTTTCCATCAATTTTTATGTGAGTGACGGAAATGAGGAGTTTGGCAAACATCAAGCATCATCTGCGAAAAAAATCCCTGTTTTTAGTTAGCATGTGCGTGATGGGCAAGCAACAAGAAAAACTGAAATCCAAGGCCCAATGGGCTATTAAGCTCTTTTTAGGCCTTGTTGCACGTGTATAATTCCTCCCAACTCACCCACAAATAACTAGCAAAAAAAAGAAAACGAATAAACTACAGAGAAAAGAGCGAAGCGAAACACTAACAGGCGAAGAGCGAGAGCTAGGGTTTCCAAAATCGCCAGTTGTTTACCCAATCTTGGTTTGCTCTGTATGATTCTTGACCTCTTTGCGTTCGTTCTTTTTTTATTTATTTATGGTTTTGTTTGTGTTTTTAAAGCTTTGGCCGGGATGGGGGAATTCAAGCAATGCTTGCTTGAATGGATTTCTGATTTTTGTTTCTTTTAATAAATGGTGTTTATGTATCGCAATCGTTCTGGGCTTTATTTATATTTGGTTCTGTGCTAGGGTTTTTCTGATTTCTAGGTTTGGTTTTCTTGAAATAGTTCGACATAGAGAGATTATGAGTTATAGGGCTTGTTTGGTTCTCGGTGTATGGGTTTGGTCCTTGATAGATATTGTTTCACTTGTTTTGCAGCAAACATGGCAGATGACAATCAGAATGAGGTGAAGGACGAGGTGGTACCAGATGTAAGTTTCAGGTTTTGTTAATTGCACCCCATCCGATAGATAAGTTTCAGGTCTTATATGATTGAAATTTGGATTCCCTACCTGTTGTGCATTAAGTTCATTTTGGAATTTAAGATAAGGTATTGTTCCGGTTTTCTTTGGAGAATTGCTGAATTTTTTATTTGAGAATTCTAATAATTACTTCAGCTTTGAGACCTAATTTGGCTATTGGAGCTTGAATACGATTATAGAATGAAATTGGACTAGATATTCCCCTAAGGCTCACCTGTGAATTTTGTCAAAAGTTTCCTTTGCTTGCAACTATTTGCAGTCTGGAAACTATATTATCTATTACAATAAAAGAAATAGGAGAAATATATGGCTGATAAAACGTTTCTGCTGGAACAGTGCATCTTTATCTATTTGGGAGTGTCAGTCTTCCATGAAGTTTCCCTTTAGATGTATAAGAAACCAATGAGAAAAATTGTGCTGGTTCATTTTCGAGGGGAAAGTTTATCCAGATCCTTCAGCATTCTCCAAAAATTGTGATCCCCTGGCTAGAATTTGGTGGTTCAGAATGGAAGTGTAGTTAGCTATATCGATGTGAAGGTGTGATACCTCGAGTCTCTTGACTAGAGCTAAGTATTGTGGTTCTTCATCCTTTTTTGCAGATTGCCCCTTTTGATCCTACTAAAAAGAAGAAAAAGAAGAAGGTTGTAATTCAGGATACTACTGATGATTCTGTGGACAAGTTGACTGAGAAAACAGAAAACCTGGCAGGTTGTTTAATTGAACAACTGTTGATTATGCTGTTTTCTTTTACAATTATGTTATACATGCATCACCATTGGTGGTACTTATCTTTTTGGTCATTGCAGTTTCTGATGGGCAGGAGAGTACATTTTCTGGTTTGAAAAAGAAGAAGAAGAAGCCAGTAAGTTTCCAAGCTTTTCTACTGTCTACAAGCAGAATCTTTTTCCTAGTTATTGATTTTTGGTGGTGGATGTGATTATAGGTTGAAACCAGTATCTTGAATGAAGACAGTGGTGATGCAGTGGAAGATTTAAATGGTAAGTGTTTTAACTTTTTTTTTTTTAACCTTCTAAAATGCCTGCAACCTTTATGTCATTAAAAAAATTGTTTAAGATTTTATATTTTTGGCCTTTTAGAGCACGCTGGTGAGGATGAGGAAGGAGAAGGAATTGTTCTTGAGGCTCCATCCTATCCTTGGGAGGGGAGCGATCGTGATTACACATATGAGGAGGTGTGTAAATTATTTCATCTCCATTACAGATCTTTCGCAGTTCAGTGATGGTTCCTTGACCCTTGTACATATATGTTTTATTTATTTTTTCAATGCCATGTCTGCAGCTTCTCGATAGGGTGTTTAACATTCTGCGCGAGAATAACCCAGAGCTGGCTGGAGACAGGCGTAGGACAGTTATGAGGCCTCCACAAGTACTTCGTGAGGGCACAAAGAAAACTGTTTTTGTGAATTTCATGGATCTGTGCAAGACGTATGTTTCAGTTCCCTTGTCTGATAGACCAAAACCGTCATTTTTTTTTATCTCATCTGCATTATATGTTTCCTTCCTTATATTTAAATTATTTTGGCCATTCGAATCTCCCTCTGTTGGTTTCTCAGTTTACCTTGGTGTTCATGTTTGTTTGTCATGCTATTTCTGTGGAAATGTCATATTTGACAAAGAAAAAAGACATTTTTTTTTGGTGGTGGATGGTGTGTACAGGATGCATAGGCAGCCAGATCACGTCATGGCGTTCTTGCTGGCTGAACTGGGGACAAGTGGATCACTTGATGGACAACAGAGGTTGGTCGTCAAGGGAAGATTTGCACCGAAGAATTTTGAAGGAATACTGCGGCGATATGTCAGTAAGTATCTACTTCTGTGGTTTGATTTATTTATTTTTATTACAGTTGTTAATCTGACATGGTTTGATTGAGTGTTCTGCAAGATGCATTGTTGATTAGGCCTGCTTGGCAGTTATATCTGTCATTTTCTATGTGTTATGTTGTGTTTCACACTTGTTACTATTGTTTCATTTTTTCTTATGTAACTTTTTTTTTCCAGATGAATATGTCATTTGCCTTGGGTGCAAAAGTCCAGACACTATACTCTCAAAGGAGAATCGTCTTTTCTTTCTCAGATGCGAGAAGGTAACAGTCTTAGAATTTAGCATTCTCTAATATTTTAGTTGTCTATTGGTTTGCTAATTTTAATAGTTGTGGTACTCTGGGCATGGATTGAATTCTATCCCATAGATTGGCAACCTCCTGGATCCACAGTACACCATACATCAGGCTTAGGATCAGCGGGATTGATTTATAGGAAGTTGTTAAGCAAATAAAGAAGGGTTTTAGCATTTTTAAGCTGCTACCTAACATCTTGTTCAAGAGGCCTATGATGATCTGAAGATTTGCCTACATTGTCCGATTTTTGCTCATGATGGAGTAACCTATATTATTTCTGAGGCCTCGTTTAAAATTTTGCTATTTTTGTTCTTTTTGTTCTTTTGAAGGGGTGGTGGGTGGGTATTGGGACAAAACCCTTAGGGTATAGGGTGAAGGAATACTTTTCTTGTTTTTTTTCCTCATATGCCCATAGTTTCTAGGTTAATCAATGCCATATGCTACCAATCTTGTATGTTTCTGGTTTTAAAATTCTTTAAAATTGAGTGTATTTTGTCTTACTTTCAGCTTCCCGGCTAATTTATTTGATAAATATTTCTGTTGCAGTGTGGTTCGGGGCGAACAGTTGCTCCAATTAAAGCTGGTTTTGTGGCTCGCGTTGGACGAAGGAACGCTGGGACATGATCTTAACCAAATATTTTGTACTCATGTTTTACTGGTAGTAGTTAATGGATTTTTGAGTTGTGTTTGGCATCAACAACAGTAATATTTTTGCTGTGACGTTTGGATATTGAGGAAGATTTTCTCTTGTATTGTTGTTTCACAGTTACCTCTGCTTAGTGATTACAGACCTTCCTATACTTTGGCCTTTGCTAGTGCTGCTCAATTATTTTCTGTTTAGTGATAACTCAGTGACATTTGAATGTGCGTTCGTGTGCCTGTCACTACGTGCAAGTTAAACCGTCACCCCTTGGGATGGGATTGGATTGGATTGGATCCGATATATCAGATTTGGATGGGTCGTGTGGCGCAATCTTTTTAGCAGTGTGTTAGTTTAGGTAGGTTAGTTTACTTTTGACGTAAAAGTCAATGAGGAGTTGGATTGACTGATGACTGCTACTCAAAGGGCTATGGGCATGCTTGGTGTTGATGGACAAAAACGAGAAATTGGTTTTTATCCACGGTCATGTGTTCAAATCCTTCTTCCCTAATAGTTCGTACCCAAAAGAAAAAAACAAAAACCCAGTAAAGAACAATTATGCATGTCGACAGAGGTTATGTTCAAATCCTTCTTCCCTAATAGTTCGTACCCAAAAGAAAAAAACAAAAAGCCGGTAAAGAACAATTATGCATGTCGACAGAGGTTATGATATATCGGTGGAGGTTTCTATTTTCCCCGGCATAGACTCACTGAAATTTTGATGCTGATGGAAATTTGTGAAATTTGGAACAATTTGCGGATGCCAAAAACATTCCTTAGAATTTGATAGATGGGTTTTGCTACAACATCACTAACACGATTACAAAATATATTATAAGGATTAAAATAAGTAGAAACAAAAAATAAAAAGAGTATAGTAATTGCAGTGTTGATCCTTATTGATTTCAATAGTGTAGATGGCTCTGTCTGCCTCTATTTGCATAATATGTTGTAGGGTTTTGTAGAGTTCACTGGACTAGACTTTTCCAAACTATCACACAGCCGGTGGAAAAGCTTTTCACATGATGTTGGACATGGCTATGAAGGCCAAGCTTGACAATGATGCAACAAATGGTATGTACATCTTCTGGTACACCTTCATCCCACTGCTCTTGTAATTCACTGTTGAAATACCTGCATTTTCCAAGACTTCCCAATTAATGTTATCGAAAAAATCTAAGCCATTCATCAAAGTTTCACTAGTCAGACAAATACGATTGTTTTTAAAATTAACAAGATCAATCGTGTTGATTAATTAATTAGTATTATAAATATTTAAAATCGACTTACAGTTTAACAAGAGAACATTTCTTTGCTCATATGTAGAAAAGAGTACCTGTATTATTATCTTTGTTGGCACATCCCTCAATGATGGTTTTATTCAGGAAAGCTACAGTGGCTTCGTTATGAAACCAGAAGTCTCTTTTGACCAAGTAGATGCATTTAAGCACATCCAAGGCGTTTTTTGAGCACCCTGTTCTATCACTGCAATAGTCTTCCTTCTCACTTGGCCCCACGTCCACTATTCCACTGAATGTCAGCTGCCCCTTCGGCGAGCAATGAGCAGGTACCTAATTATAACACCCACCAACACACTTACAATTCCTTCTTAGTTATTAACCAAAATTCATCTTGTGTATGTATACCATCTATTTTTCTTTCCGGACATAACATATTATGCCAAACTGATTGATTAAATGAATTTTTCTTATAAAATATATTGCGGAACATAACATATCAGACTGTTGTTAATATGAATCATTGACCGAATGCGTTCTTTCTTATAGAATATAGTATCATGTTGACAATTTAATAACATAATATGTCAAAAATCACTCGAGAAGAGAACGGTGGTCTTTAGGTGAATTTATTTGCTCTTACTGTTTTGTTCGTGCAATAGTAAGCACTCATCCAACCCTCGAATGGGCTTAGATTTACATTGTCTGTAGGGTCTGTTTTATCTGAAAATCAAACCAAACATCATCAGTTCAGTACAAATAATTAATCTTGCCTTTTTCTTTTATTTTTTCCAAATCGTATATAAGAAGAACGATGAGATAGAAGAAGAATACATACTTAAAGCATGAGCACTTTGAAACACAAGGAACATCCCCAGAGTGAAACAAATCAACCCAATCCTTCCACCAACAAAGCTCTTGTAATTTTCCATCCCTTCAAGAGAAACTGCGTGCTGCTGCTGTTTCTTCTTCTTCTTCTAAAAACTTATCTGGGATTAAGTCTAAGGGAAAATTTCTGCGCTATCGAAACATTTATAACCTTTACAAGGGGTTGAATTCTTCATTATAATTGGAGAAAAAGAAAAAAAAGACTAAGAGCCAAAAACATATGAATCTATCATGTCTGTTTCAGTATATGCCTAGTATATATGTAGCAACATTGATTTAACCAAGGATAACAAAACAAAGTCCATTTTCAGCAGACAAAATGAGACAACTATAGCTACTTTGGCTCTTATGTTTGAGCTGATAAAAACAAGAGTTTCATTGCTTATGGAATTTTCCCATCTGTTCTTTTCTGGTCATCTTATTGTGTTTAGTCCTGCTGTCCATAGGTGGCCCATCTAAGGATGGATAATATTCTTCTCCTCTGAATTCTCATTCTGCTTGGAAGTTTATTGGATTGGTTCTTTAAAGGCTTGAAATCCTCCGAATGAGTACAATTACTATGAAAATTTATTGTAATTTTGTGAGTGTTACAGAGCATTCAGAGAGAAAAACAAGCATGCACTTAAAAACTCCAAATTTTAAGAACATTTGATGGAAGCCAATGCTTTAACCAACAATCCAAAGAGAACAATTGGTGTGGAGAAAAATGGGCTATGATCACTATCCAGAACAAAGACTTGGGATGGTGGCCATCTCTTGATCATGGCATCTTGTTGCTCAGGCTTTATAACATGGTCCTGCATGGTCTTGATGTACACTCTTGGCACACAGTCAGCGGCATCTGCAGTTCGTTCGAATCGAGCACCCGCAATGCCAGCACAGGTCCTGGCCTCAGCAGCATTGAAGCTAAAGTTGAGTCCTGAAACATTCAATACCAAAGAGAATTATAATAATTTTGGTATTTTGTTCCAACACATTGCGTCTTAAACTAAACCGCTCTGTAATAGAAGAGAAGTCAATTCTGTGGTAAATTTGAGATGGCCTGTTGTGGTCTTGGTGGTTTGGTGAGGTTGACACTTCATCAGTTTATATATCTTCCTGCTGCAGTTAATAGTGCACTTGGGGCTGGTTTGGTATGTTGTATTTAACTGGACTGAAATTCATATTGAATATTGATTGCACTGCAATGTGTTATAATGTGCAGAGTCCCTCAGGGCTCTTCAGCAAAAAATGTATTTCAGGCTTGTATATTGGCATTTTAAGGGTCTCCAGTTTGGCATTTCAGGCTTCTTTCTGGTGTCGATTTTGACATTTTGGAATTTATAATTTGAAAGAATTCGTTTAAATTCTGCACAACACTGTCTAATATAAGGTTATACAATTTAGTATAATGTAATTCAATCTGGTAGACATAGGGTCCAATACGGCTATGATATAATTAAGTTCAAACCGTAGAGAAAAAAAAATGATCAAGGCCCCAAGGGGAAGACAAATATCAAGAAGTCTTACCATTTTGAGGCTTTAGAAGAAGAATATGTAAAATATGCGGTACTAGTACTGCTTACCTCTAGAGTGCTCATCTGATACAAGATTTGGTGCTGAAAATTCTCCTTCATTATGGCACTAGTTGGAGGCTGGTCAGGTCCCAACCCATATATGAATTTGACGACGTTTCCAAATGCAGATAAGTTGGGCTTTCCCTACTCCATAAATACAGAAAATTAGCAGACATGGGTTAGGCTAGTTGGTCAAGGCAATGTACCTACCTCCCTTGTACTCGAGTTCCATTTCCCTCCCTCGTAGATTAGAGTAATTTAGAGTATTATCGATTGTATAAAAAAATAAAATAAACATATGAAATTAAACAAATAAGATAACAAGAATATACAAACATAATACATCTATGAAAACAAAAATGTCAATGCAGTAGCATGCTTGAACACCATGGTACATAACTTTTCCCAGTGCTACTCAAACCCTTTGTGAACTCTCCTTAGACAAAAATAACATGAGTAAAGAACTAAAGGCTTAAGTTTTTCACCAAAAAAAGAGAGAAGAAGAAATGAATCTTACATCTTTGAAATCTTGATGGGTAGAAAATCCATGCTCTAACATGGTTGCTGCAACATATATTGCCATATGTATTTTGTTAGCAAATCTGTGTATAGCATCCGTCAAGCTCATGCCTCCTACACTGTGTCCCACAAGTACAACCTTTAGCATAGCAGACATTATTAATTAATCCCCCAAAAACTAAATCAACATAACATAATTAGCCTAATTAAGCAAGATTAATTAGGGTGAACTCACCTTTTCATCCCCTGGCAAATTGGACAAGAAGTTAATAAGAGGCTTGTTGTAGTCTTGGAAAGTGAGGATGGTGTTAGGGTCAGATTGGTCAATACCAGCACCTTTTAGGTCAAGGCATGTCACTTTGTAGCCTGATGCTTCCAAGAGACACCTGATCTTGTACCAGCACCAAGCTCCATGCCCTATGCCATGGATCAGAACCAAGTGATGCTGCTGCCGACGATGATGATGAGGGTACTTTGGTAACATTTCACTCTTTGTATGCTCTTTCTCTTCTTCCACTCTTCCTCCTGACATAGAGGATAGAGCTTCAGTTTTGTTTTAGTTTCCTCTGGCCTTACCTTATCATATGTGATGATAAGGTACATGTGATTTGATGTAATTTACTGACGTAGGAAGTTAACTAGTTGCTCTCCAACTGAGTTGCGTCACCAAGTAGCTATGCAACAAAAATGTCCTACGTTGGAGACAGGCCTGTGGATAATGTTTCTTACTAATTCATGTGTCTTTCTTTCTGATATGTCTCTTCGTTTGATGCATGCATTACACACCTAAGATAGTTAGAGACATTTCCAATCAAACCAGAATGTGATGGCAGAAGATAAGGTTTTCCCTTTTTTCTTCTTTGAGCAAAGAGGATAGGGCAACAAAATCGACCCGACCTAACTACCCCCAATCACATTATAACTTGTAAGTAATTAAGGCACTCCAAAGGTTATTTTTA